ACATTTACACAATGGAGTACTATTCAGCGGGAAAAAAAAACAATGGAATCTTGAAATTTGCAGCCAAATGGATGGCACTAGAAGAGTGAGGTAACCCAGTCACAAAAAGAGAAACATGGTATGTACTCACTCATATATGGATTTTAGACATAGATCAGGGGAGTACCAGCCTGCAATCCCACCATCAGAGAGTCTGGGAAACAGAACCTTCATCTAGCGACTGATAAAAGCAGAGGCAGATACTCACAGACAAATACTGAACAAAACTCCTGGAACCCAGTGTCAGAAAGAGAGAACTGATGTGCAAAGGAGTTAAGACTGGGCTGGTTTAACCCATAGAAACAGTTGACCTGAACAATGGGAGCTCTTGGACCCCAGATTGATGGCTGTGTGGAGAGCATGGAACTGACCCAGACTCCCTGAATGTGGGTGTCAGTGAGGAGGCCTAGGTAATCTATGAGGCCTTGGGTAGTATTTATTCCTGGTGTACAAAAAGACTTTGAGTGCCCATGCCACAATATGGGAGGCTCTTTCAGCCGGGACTCTTGGAGAAAGGCCTAGGCCCTGCCCTGGATGAAATGACAGTTACTGGAGATCCATCATGGAGGGCCTCACCCTCTATGGGGATCAGAGTGGAGATTGGGTGGGGGACTGGAGGACCTAGTGGGGAGTGTGGGAGAGGAGGGGAGGGAGAGGGAGCTGGGGTTGACATGTGAAACAAGATTGTGTCTAACCTAAATAAAAACAAATAATAATTATTAAAAAAAAAAGACCAGAGATGAGTGTGACCCCTTCCCACTCCCAAACTAGAGGCTATGACCTGATACACAACATCACCTCCCAGCACCTCTAAGTGTGTGTATTTCGGCTCCAGAAACATGAAGAACCAAAGGGCAAGGGCACCTAATTAATGCCACACGGTAAGGACTTGCATCTGGGTGTTTGAAGAGGGAGAGACTCGTAATGGTTAGAACCAGTCACAGTCTCTTATTAGGAGAAGATAGTTGTGCGAGCTGGAAGAAGCAAGATAAAAAGAAAGAAGAGATAAAAAAATAGGAAAATCCTTTTATTCCTATCCCATCCCAGAACATTCTGTCAAACAGAAATCAGACATTCTTCTGCCATTTGTCTCCAGTATATATTTACTAACTTCCCAGATGCATTTTGAGAAGTATTAGACTCATTATGACTGAGTTGAAATTATTCAGTTTTAGCCCTCCTATGGAGGGAGACATTTCAGCCGATTTTCCATTCCCAGAACTTCAATTTTCAATGCTGAACAAGGCTTTGCCAAAAATTTTTATTTTATGCTTTCTTTGAGCCAGCACCAAATGGTAGACATTGTTTCTTTTTAATTGACTCCATCTGCAAGCCATACTGTTCCAGAGCCTCTGGAAGGCAAGAGAAAACTTTCCAAACCCCGTATTAATTACTCGATTAATCAATGAGCTGAGCGTTGACATCTGGATCTCACACTGGCCTTGCTCTAGCAGGCCTACCTGCACACAAGAATGTGAGCTATTCCGTTACTCATCTCTCCATGTCTCGTTCCAACACAGACACGAACTGTCTTTGTTTGGAACTGCAAGATTAGCAGGAAAATGGGTTGAGGAGCAGGCTCTGCATTTGGCCAGGCTGGCAATCCTAGCTACAAAGAGCTTATGGCCCAAGCAAAACAGCAGCCAACGGGCTGGGTGAGCCAAGGACATCTGGCTCTTCCACGAAGAGCAGGCATTGACCAGGCAAGGGGGAGAGAAACCCAGCCGATGAATGCACATGCTCCCGAGCCTCTGCCTTGTGTGAGCTGCAGGTGCCACCGTGGCTCGAAGTGCTTGGGTTAGACCGGGACCAACAACAATTCTGAGTTACACCTGGATCAACCCTGGATGAAGATTCTTAATCTTCCTTCTTCCAAACGACGCTAGGAAGGGGCAGTTTATGAGTGAGGAATATGGGACCACGGGAGGGAAGCACCTTTGGAAGGAGACTGGGGAAGTGTTCTTTAGCATTAACCTAATAGCCCTGGCAGGATTAGTTATTGCAAGCAGACATTGGTGCCCCTCCCTTTAAACAACACATCCCCAACAACTGGACATTTATCTAGGGAGCTCATCCTGGGAAAAGGCCGAATCCTGGCATCAGTCAGAGGTGAGCATTCCTCCCAGAGGGGAGCAACCCTCCCAGAGATTTCTTATGGTTCTCATACCCTGTCAAACCAATTGCAGGAAAGAGTAGTACCATAAACTATGAGGATATGTGTCAATGCTGGGTGGTAGCTTTTGGCTTCTGTTTAAGCCTATATCTCATGTCAGGACCGAGAAGATGGGTTGGTAGTGTCACTGGGCCTCCTTGCTTCCCTTCCCAACGTGGCCACGTTGAATACATCGTTCTCTGTTTTTATTTTATTTTATTACTTTGTGTCTTTAGTTGGCCTATTGAGTGCAGGTGGCACAGCCCCACTTGTTAGGATGGCCATGGCCCAGGCTCCAACCCTAACAGTGATGGTAACGTTAGTTTTCATGGTCAGTGATAAAAGGCAACTATGGAACTAAGACATGAACAGTTGTCTCTATGCCCAAATGTGCCATGCTATGGCTTGGTCTGTAGACTGGGAAACTGTTTCCAAAAGAGCAGTTAAAACTGGGCTGGGAGGGAAGTGACCCTTCGAGGGACAGTGGAAAGATGAGACCAAAAGCATTTTCCACAAAATGTAAAACAGATGCTAACAGGCCCTGGGCACACTTCAACCTCACCTTTACCTTGTGGTGATTTTGTCTCCTGGATGTTTTCTATGTTAACAGAAGGTGTAATGCTTTCCTTAAACAAATAATGGAAATGATTTGGCTGTTGGGTTTTGTTTTTAATGTATCCTTTAACGAAGAATGTCCATGCATGCCATTCACCAGAGTTTCAAACACACGGAGGCTTTTCCACCCTCCATTCTGTTTTCAGAACATACTCATACAAGTAACGAGTCTTCCTTGGGTGTGTACGGTGCTGCTCCATGACGGCTCACCTGGCGTTCCTCAGTCGCAGCAAGTCTGACACCTGGGATTGGACCCAGAGGATGCTGGATGTTGGGCACTGGCAGCATCCTTGGCCTCTACCGATTGAGCGGGAAAATCACCCTCTGCAACTATTGTCAAACCTCTCTCTCTTCCCGTAACAGGGACTCAGAAACACCTTTTCTGAAAAGTGCTGACCCCTTGCTCGGACTCACAGGTAGTAAAATGTGGAGTAGGTGTGGCGCCATTCCCCCCCCCCATTTTGCATTGGTCCTTTATCTTAAAACCGTGGGTGGGTCAGATTCCTGTTTAACTCTGCACGTAGGCATGTTGACCACTCAAACAGTGTCCAAATGCCAGTGATGCTTTCCAGATCTCTTGTCCCTTCAAGGCCGACATCACTTAAAGAGAGCCTAGAGCATATATTTTTAGATGGAGGTCTCAGTGTGTCATCCTGGCTGACCTTGAACTCACAGAGATCAAACCCTGGATGACCACACAATTAGTTTTTTACAATGCCCATTTCCAGACTCTCAAGAAGATGCCTCAAAGTCTCCTTTGCTGCCTTAAACATGCAGTCCCCTTGCATTCCAGGAACAGCAGGCCTCTGCTGACAAAACATTCCGTGACAGCAACTATCATCTCATAGGAACCAGATAGTCCCTCACGCAATTAGATGTCCTGGAATCAGCTTGCAGAACCAGTACTGAGATAACATTCAACCACACTACCTTCAAGCAAGACTATAGACTTCTTGTTACCTGGCTCAGTTCTGTTTAAACAATGCAGATAGACTCGGGGATGGGCGTCACTCAGCCCCTTTATCTGTTCTTCCCAGTGTGGCCATACTGACTAAATCTTTCTCGCCGTGTCTGTCTACTGTTTGGTTTTGTTTTTTGTTTGTTTTGTTTCGTTGTTGTTTGATTGGCTGTTGTTCTTGCTTTATATCACAAGGTGGCCTCGAAACTGCAGTGACCCTCCTGCCTCTGCCCCTCAAGTGCTGGAACTGCAGGCACGCGCCACCACACCCAGCTCTACTTACCTCTTTAGTCCATGTACTGGGACCAGTGGCTTAGCGTTGTCTGTTGGGACTCCCAGACTAGGGACTCTTGTCCTGTAACTGGTGATACTCTTATCTCTGAAACATGGGCTCCAGCTTTAAGAAAATCATTAATCATGAAAATGTGAGTGGCCTCCCATTTGAAAAACCAGTATCTTGGTGTCCGTCCCAAGAACTGCAATATCTGAAGAGTATTTAAATAGGCCCTATGGTGTCTACCCAACAGCCATTTCTTAATCCATTCTATATCCACAGGGGCAGATCAGCAACCTCAGGAGAGACATCAGTCTTGAGGCTCCCCGTCTCTCTGCTGGTGCTTGGTGGGAGGCTAGGAAGGGTGTTGCCTCTTTTAGACAGTAAGACATAAAAGCAAATAAAATGGGGGAGAAACATTCCTTCTGATAAAATAAATAATACAAATACAAGAAGCCATGTGCTGTGTGATTCTGCCCTGAATGTTTATTCTGTTGGGCTCCTTGACTGCCATCTCTCAATCATAAAGAGCCTGAAGACAAAAGAGCTCCCAGCCTTGATAATAATGTGAGCTGCGGAGCCCACTTTGGAATGCTAACCTCCAGAAGGTTCACTAACTGACATAATTTAATACACCTCTATTGCCAAAACCTAAGAGTGGTCTATGGGGGCCAAATTCAAGATCTAAGAATTTCTTTCTTTACATTTTCTTAAAACAAACTTTGTTTTAAGAAAGACCAACAAAAGAGAAACAAATGACAGAGACCATGTGTGGTCCACAAACCTAAAATCTTTACTGTTACTCTTCGTAGAAAATGTTTGTCTGCCTGCCTCAATAGAAATCACTCGTGGGTGCACTGTATTCTGCAGCTCGAGACATTCTTAATATAGCACTAAAAGCTTCATTTTAGTCACAGAAAATTAATGTTGGCCATGGTTCAAGTAGACAATTCAAAAACATATTTGTCATTATTTCAATTTATTATAAAAGGATGCCAAACTAAGGCATCAAGAAATATTTTTTTAAGTTTTTAACATGCCTTTCTATCCCTCGGAGCTTCAAATAATATTTCCTGACTTTCTACATCAGAATGACAAAGCTTCTTGATGAAATACAATGTATACAATGACTATCCCCAAAGGAGGTCAGATTGCCCTGCCATCTGAACAAGGCATTTCTTGCATGAGGAGGCCAACTCTAGAATATTCCACAGAGGACAAGGGTGACACACAAACAAACTTGTTGATGTAATAAATGACATCTTCTGTGGAGACAGAACTGGCACTTCCTGCTGACTCACGCAGAGTGACACTTCCATGAAAAGCCGCCAAACCATCCCCCCCCTAACTAAAAGCCCCAAGTTAATGCTTCTGCTTCCCATCGGGCCCAAATGCTCAGTAGTACCTTAGTGAAGGGCTTAATTCTTAAGAGAAAAGTATGTATTGAGAACACCAGGTCCAGTGAAAGTCCAATCGAGGCAAGCCCAGGAGCGCGAGTCAGAGCACTGAGCCGTGTGAGTAGGAGTCAGAGCGCTGAGCCGTGTGCGTCAGGGCGGCCTTCCGTGAGTCAATCAGTACTCCTTCATCACTACAGTTCAGTCCCGATCTTAGCTGTGCACAGTAAGTATCAATAAGAGCAAGGGAAGACAGAGATGGGGGAGGGGCAGGGAGCGAGACGGGAGAGAGAGGGGGGAGAGAGAGGGAAAAGGAGGGAGAGACAGAAGATGAGAGGGACCGGGTGGGAGAGGGCGGTGGCGGGGCAGTTCACATTTATACCCAGTACTGGTTGTGTTTCAGCGCTGGGTTGGTTTGTCGGCAGAGCTTGGCCATGTCAGGATCCAGGTTCGCCCACGCCTCCCAAGGAGCACATTTCTCGACAGGCTCAGTCCCCAGGGAGGCCATATGATCATACTGTGGGGGCAGGGACGGACTGGTGGCAGGGCTGCTGGAGTTTCTCATCAGGGGAGTCACGGTGACCGTGGGAACGGCTCCACTCCGTTCTGCTCGACAGCTGGGAGGTGGGGATTCAAGGTTGGTCTTGGGCTGGAGAAGAGGGTTAGCCTTTTCCTCCTTTCGCCTCAGCAGCCAGACACACAGGGCCATCGCAGTCACCATCAGAAGGAGGAACACAGCAGCCAAGGGTACGATGACCATCAGAGGGAAACTGCTGTCTCTGTGCCCTATGGCTCCCCCAGAAATGACTTTGGTGGCAGCATATGGCCAAATGACCTTGGTGGGGGAGACCTTGCCATCCACATTTGCTTCTTTGCCATTGAGTTGTCCCCAGGAATCTGTCCCTCTCCATTTGCTCTGGGTCAGATTCCCTGGAGTTTCTGTCTGTGTTACAGTGGAAGCCGTAAGTTGTTTCTGAGAGAAAACTGAGGCCACGAGGCTCTCTCCAGTGATGAATAAAGGCACACCTGGTGTAAGTGTTTGTAAAGATGAGGGGTCTGGTGGCACTATGCTAAAGGCCAGATAACCTGTTGCTGGCTGTACATGGTCTGCACTGAGCAAGAAGGTGAAGGAGTCATTCAGTGTACCAGTGCCTGTTAGGTTAGCACGTGGCTCCAGCACCAGCTGACCTCGGTCGATGTCTCCCTGGGTGAACTGAGTGATCTCCTCCATCACAGGGCTGTCAACTGCTCTTCGTACAAGCCGCCCGTAGATGGGAGGTTGTGTCACTTCAAATGTGGGATCACTATTTGTCCTGTTAGCTAGCTCGGTTGCATCTAGGTCCTCCCTCTGCAGCTGATGAGGCACTCTGTTGACCACTTTCAGGTTCCGTGTAACCCGTAGTAAAGGCTGCACTCTGATGTCCAGGGTCTGTTCTGTCAAGTTGCTCTCTGCTGTAAACAGTGAGAACTGCAGCTGATCCTCCGAGGCTGTGAGGTTGGTCATGTGGTAAGAGAGTCTTCCTGCGTCCAAATCCTCCTGTCCAAAGCTGGTGACCACCCGGTTTTCAATCAGCAAGTGGCCACTTTGGAGGGGTTGTGTTACCCTGTAGATGATCTGGAGGCTCTTCCCATTGGTCACCGCAGAGAGGTGAGCATTGGTGATGGAGACAGTGGTCTGGCCTTGTGGGAGAAGCAGGTCTGTGAGGTTCACAAGAGTGATGGAGATGGGGATGACATTCAGGTGGAAGAGCTTGTAGAGAGGCCGATGGTCACCATCGGTCACACTAAAATAAAACACTCCAGAGGATGAGCTTCCGTCTTGTATGAACCACACCTGAGCATTATTGATGTCAGCTTGTGTAAAATGGTGAACAGCGGTGTCTAGGTCGTGAGCCATCGCTAAAAAGCCATTGTTGGGATGGCGGATGACCATGTATTGGATTTCATTTGGAGGACTGTCTAGATCATCTACTTTTAGGATTTCAGGTCCCACAACCAACCGGCTGCCCTGGAGAACTGTCAAACGAAGCCCTTTGGTCTTTAATTCTGGAGGCTGATCATTCACAGGGGTGATGGTAATGTTGAACATCTCTTCTAGAAAGTCAGCCTCTGGCTTGCTGGCGGACTTGTTCTTTGGGTTTGGCCAAACAGCGAAGGTAAAATTATCAGCCAGTGATTCAGAGTCATCATGAAGGTATGTCACTCCAAATGCATTAACTATATGCTGGGAGAAGTACGGTTTTCCTGTGGAGATGTTTCTTTCTCCCACCAAAATGGTTCCATGGCAAGGAAGAGCTGTAACCTGGAACCAGATTTCATGGGAAGAGCGCTGAGGTTGGGGAAGCTGAAGTAAGAGGTTGGAGGCATCTAACTTAGATTGGTCAATGAGAACTTTCTCTCCCTCCTTGACAGAGGCCCCTATTGAAACAGAAAACAAAGAGATATTCATTCAGACATTGCAGATGAAGGCCCTAAAGCTCTCTTTCCCAAGTACACCTCTCAGTCGGTTATTCTAAATGCACAGGTTGCTCAAGCACCTGAATTAGCATATGAAAAAAACTTATGCACAAATACATTTCTACGGAAGTCAGAGGTCCCTCAAAAAACTGAAAATAGATAGAACTATGACCTAAGCCAGCTACACACTCTTGGGTGCATACCCCAAGAACTCTAGCATTCCACAGAGATATCTACACATATATTTTTTCTTTTGCATTATTCACAGTAGGCAGGCTGTAAGATCAGGCTAGATGACCATTAATAGACCAATAGTAAGGAAAATATGGTACATATATACAGTGGAATCCTACCTGCCTTAAGAAAAAAAGGAATCATGACATTGTGGGGGAAAATGAATGCAATTGGAGATGATTTTGTTAGTGAAACTCAGAAAGACAAATGTTTTCTCTTACTTGAAGAACCAACTGAGATTTACATGCATGCATGCGTGCGTGCGTGCGTGCGTGTGTGTGTGTGTGTGTGTGTGTGTGTGTGTTTATGTGCATTTGGAGGTCACGACAGTACAAAGGGATCACCTGAAGGGATATGGGAAGTGGAGAGGACAACATTACACACGTGGCAGGCCACAGAGGTGAGGATGAAAGAGGAAAGACGGGGAATGGTAGGAGCAGAGGAAAGGCACCGGGAGGAAGCAGGGAGGAGAGTAGTTGGGAAATGAATGCAAACAACCATTGAGTCAACATTTCAGGCAAGCAAGCTTTACAACCCCTACACTCACTTTTAAGATGTTAATTTCCTAACTTACCTATGGCTGAATTTCTCCTGCTGTGGCAATAGGCACAGCTTTTAATAATTCTTTTCCATCCATCATTTTCATTTTTTATGAACAGCCTTTCAGTTATGGGCATGATAAGCTCCCATTTGAAGGTATATGGATTTTTAAAAGGCAAACTCATTCCTCACCTTTAGGCTCACAACAGGAAATACATGAGGACATGCAGAGTAACTACCATTGGCTGTAACTGGGTCCATCTTACTGAAGAGGACAATATTGTGGCGTGAACACAAATATTATTTTTCTCTCTTCTATAATAAACAAAGCACTGGCTGAACATAGCTTAGTGGTGTGAGAGCCAAGGTTACATTTTAAGTTTTAATTACTGTGCCTTAAAGACCCATGAAACAAAAAATGCCTCTGACCTATAAGCTCCTTGCCCAAGGACAGATAGTTCCTGAATTACTGGAGGCTGTTGTTTATGGGAGATAACAAGCCACCTGTTTTCACTCCCCTAAACAAGTTATTTGACCCATCTACACAGGATGGGCCTGATCACATGCGAGCTGGAGGTACATAGGAAGGAAATGCATCAGGACATATACTTGCCCCTGATTGGACCTGATGGGAAATGCAATGAATTATGGGTTTTCCTTCTTAAGCCTTTGCAAAATCTGATTCAGGGTCACTTCCCAGGAACCTGAGAAGGGACCTGCCCAAAGCCTATCCACCTGGCCAGCATTTAATTAAAGCTTGCTTCAAATTTGGCTTTAAATTGTTGCTGGTCTTATCCTCCACTGATGGGATTAACAGTGGCAGTACCTGTATTTGCAAGCAGCCGGCTTTGTCGGCCTGACTCGTTTGTTTCATATGAAATGGTAATCCGGAAATCCTCTGGGCCCAGTGCTGCAGGAGGAGAGGATGCCGTGAACGTGAAGGAGTCTTCTGAAGTCCATCCCGTGTTCTCGAGATCCACATGCTGGTATAGTATCAGACCTTCACTGACCTAGACAGAAGGAAGGACAGTTAGCACCCAGCTTCTGGGATATAAGGATCAACACACATTCTAACTGGAGGAGACATGCTCTTTCTAGGGCTTCTATATTCACTCAAATTATCCCTTGTATTTGTGTAAAGGGAAAAAAAATTTGGTGACTTATTGTTTCACAGCTGGGAGATTCTAATTCAAACTTGATATACTAAACCCTCCTTACTTGATAGACAGTGCCAGCCATTATCAGCTCATATAGCAAGTCTCGTTTTGTGGATAGCCCTGCCTGATTCCTGTCCGACAGACTATTTGTGATCAAATCCTAGACATCATACAATCTCATCTATGGATATTTCAGTAAGTACTCATACGACATGACTTTCACAAACGTAACCACCATTACCAGCATTCTACTTCAGAAGTAAAAATAACTAATTCCCTGGGGGCTGGAGAGATGGCTCAGCGATTAAGAGCACTGGGTACAATTCCCAGCACCCACATGGCAGCTTAGCTTACAACTGTCTGTAGCCCCCGTTGCAATGGATCAGACACCCTCACATAGACATATGGATAGACAAAACACTGATGTTCATAAAATAAGAAAAAAACTAATTCACATTAGCAAATATGCAGCCCATGTACAAATTTCTCTAACAATCTGGTTAAAAAATTAAAAAGAAAGGCAAACAAAAACCCACACACATACATACACATAGTCTTTTGAGTCAAGATCCATACGTGTTCACACCTCACATTTGATATTTCTTATAGGTGTCTTTTCATCTGTAAGTCCGTGTGTGTGTGTGTGTGTGTGTGTGTGTGTGTGTGTGTGTGTGTGTTGGGAGAAGTCCCAGACAGAGAGACTGAAACCATGATTCCATGAGATGACTAGTGAGGTAAACGTGTGAGAACAAGAAGCTCACAGAGGTTAGGAATTTTGCCACCAAAAGCAAAATAACCATGGATCTCCACTGTGTGGGGTACGTATGGATAAACCACTGAGTACCAGCACTCTGGGACTGAGGAGAGGAGAGGAGGAAGGTGGGTTTTTATTCCCTATCCATTTAGATTTGTGCAGCTATTTTCCATCATACAGAAGGAGTCATCAGAGTGTCATCAGAAAGCCAATGGTGTGGAATCTCAACCAATAAATGAAGCAAGAAAACAAAAATGAGAAAAACCATCACTTGGTAACTAACAGCCATAACAACTCAGGTAAGAATCCTAAAATGGGTTTTAAAACTGTTGGCTAAAGAGCAGTGACAAACAGGATACATAAATGGTTACAAAGCATGTCCTTATGGGACACTTACTAGTCACAAGAGAGGATCACTCCCTGAAAGTGGAGAAACTGGAAACCCAGGGAGGGAAGATTGGCATGATGAATATAAGCAGCATTCCCAACCTCAGGACAAGTGAGCACTTGGCAGGAAGCTCTGAGGTGAACCAGCAGAGCCCTTTGTGTTCCTGCCCAGAATGCCAGTCTGAATTGATGCCCAGGGTGCAAAACCCGAATCCCTGCCCAGGATGCACAGCTGAATCCCTATCCAGGGTGCAAAACCTGAATCCCTGCCCAGGATGCACACCTGAATCCCTATACAGAGTGCACAACTGTATCCCTATCCAGGGTCCACAGCTGAATCCCTATCCAGGGTGCAAAACCTGAATCCCTGCCCAGGATGCACACCTGAATCCCTATACAGAGTGCACAACTGTATCCCTATCCAGGGTCCACAGCTGAATCCCTATCCAGGGTGCAAAACCTGAATCCCTGCCCAGGATGCACACCTGAATCCCTATACAGAGTGCACAACTGTATCCCTATCCAGGGTCCACAGCTGAATCCCTATCCAGGGTGCAAAACCTGAATCCCTGCCCAGGATGCACACCTGAATCCCTATACAGAGTGCACAACTGTATCCCTATCCAGGGTCCACAGCTGAATCCCTATCCAGGGTGCAAAACCTGAATCCCTGCCCAGGATGCACACCTGAATCCCTATACAGAGTGCACAACTGTATCCCTATCCAGGGTCCACAGCTGAATCCCTATCCAGGGTGCAAAACCTGAATCCCTGCCCAGGATGCACACCTGAATCCCTATACAGAGTGCACAACTGTATCCCTATCCAGGGTGCACAGCTGAATCCCTATCCAGGGTGCAAAACCCGAATCCCTGCCCAGGATGCACACCTGAATCCCTATCCAGGGTGCACAGCTGAATCTCTATCCAGGTCCACAGCACACCTGAATCCCTATACAGAGTGCACAACTGTATCCCTATCCAGGGTGCACAGCTGAATCCCTATCCAGGGTGCACAGCTGAATCCCTATACAGGATTCACACTCAAAATGTGATCAAAATGAAAAATTAAGTAAAACATCAGATTACAATAAAAATTAGGAACACTCTGCAAAGAACTGTCCTGTGCTCTTAAAAGCAAAGTTGGACTGGCAAAGTGGCCCGTCTGATTAAGGCACTTTGCCACAAAGTCTGGGAACCTGAGTTCCATCCCCAGAACCCAAAAGGTGGAACAAGAGAACTCCCACAAGCTGTCCTCTGACATCCACACTTAATCTTGTCACGTGTGTGCATGAGCACATGCACACACACACATGCACACACACCCTTACGAACATACAAGATAAATAAATGCCATAAATCATTTTAATGACAATGTCATAAAAGACACTATATTGATAACTAGAGAATGGTTCCAATTAAAGGATATTGAAGACACATGACAACTAAATGCTATGTTTTATATTGTGCATAATTTCCCATTTCCTGTTTAGCATATTTATTGGAACAATATGAGAAAATTTAATATGATATGTAAATTCTACACTGACATTGTAACAAATATCAATTTTAAAAATTTGAAAATTATGCTGTGATTATATAAAAACTTGCCTTAATTTTAGAAATGTGTACTGAGAAGACATGTGAGTGAACAGAATAAGTCTAGTTAAAAGTTAAAATTTTGGGAATATGGAGGAATAGAACATGTGAACTCTTTACACTTTGTAATTATTCCATAACTTATTTCAAAATACAAAGTTAAATATACTAAGTAACTCATTGTTTTTTTCTGCTTTAGGAAGGAAGCAACATTCCCTTTTATGATGACCAATACAGGCAGGTTGAAGGAACCAACCTAGAAAAGCCATGTACACTGAAGACAGGAAGTGGCTGTCATCTCCTGTGCTGGTCCATCCTCACCCTCCCCGTTGCCATCTCCATCTTCCTGTGACCCCCGACTTAGTCCTTTCTGAGACTTTTGATAAGGCTATAATCCAATGTCACTCACGAATGGGTGTATATACTTCCAAATCTTTCCAGTTTCTTTGTATGTATTTGTTCAAAATATAGGTTGAAATAGCAAATAATCTACTTTGAAATGGCTTATAACCTTGCATAGATAGAAACAAGGCAACTCAGGATATTTCTTATGAATGTATACATTTAACAACACAGAAAATATCTAGCTTTTATTAGAGTTCTACAGATTGCAGGCACTCCACAAGGCTCGTTGTACAATTCATTTAGCTTCGGTTTGTTTCAAGAGGGTTTTTATGTCCATTTGACAAATGGGGAAAAGAAAAATGAGGCTCTGGAGGTGTAAACAGCAGTGAATGGGGAAGCTTTATTTTGTACCAACTTCTAAACAACCCCAGAGTCCATGCTGTTTCCACCATCTAAGGGCTGAACTCACCGTGTGGAACCGAGATTATAGGCTACAAGGAAATTCCTAAGGTATGTTCTGAAACTCCAAGAGCCCAGTAACGGGGAGAGTCAGTTGAAAAGTATGACCAGAACAAACAAATGCCACTTCACTGTGTGGCCTGGCCAAGGCAATCAGTATTAACCAGAGCTCGTCTTGAGTGGCAGTGGTTCTGAGGAACAGCTCATCCTACAGCTTGTGTGTGTGTCATGAATTTTGAATTAAAGAAAGGCAGTACTGGAGCTGGGAGATGGCCCAGTGGGTAAAAGTGCTTGTTCAGCATGTGGATCTGAGCTCAGACCCCCAGCAGCCACATAAAAAGCTGGGAATGGTGACATGCATTTGTAACCCCAGTGTTGTAGGGGCAGAGGCATGCAGATCCCAGATACTGGCCAGTTAGTTTGGACAGCTGGTGAGCCCAGGTTCAGTGAGAAGCCCTGCTTCAAAGGATACGATGGTGAGCAATGGAGGAAAACAGCTAACTTCCACCTCTGACCTCCACACATGTATGCATTGGCATGTGCATATACAGTCAACATGTGTGCACACATTCATATATCACACACAATAGTAGAGGGGCAGTATTCCAATTCTATACTGCTGCCATTTTTATCATGTGGAAACTCAGAAGACACTAGGAGATAGTGGATGGGGCAGGAGGACACTGTTTTGTTTTGTTTTTTCTCTTTGATCAGTTTCTGGCTGGAGGCCTCAAGGAGACCAGCTAACACACACTTTCATAAATATGGAGTCAGAGAGCTGAGGGTCAGGATTAGTACCCGTGGATGGATCTAAGAATGAAGGATCTTGAATGTGCTAGGCTTGGTGGAGTCAACCACTGCGTGCAGATTGATTTTTTTCCCCCTAAGGATGTAATGTCTTCCTTTTCTCCTCCAGGTTGCCTGGCTACAAGCATTCCTTTGCCCATGGTCACAATACTCCAACATGTTTATGTCCAACTGTTGTCTACAGCTATGATGGTGGCCTCCCTGGTGGAAAGGGAATACACTCCAAGAGGATTTAGGCCCAGCAGGATGGAGTTCAGACTCTGGGCGCCATAGCTGTGAAAGAAGACATTTCTACTGCTTTTAGTCACTATTCTAGTTTGGTTTCTGTTGCTGTGATAAAACAATAACCAAAAGTAACTTGGGGAACAAAGAGTTTATTTGGCTTACACTTCCATGTCATGAAGAGATTATCTGACTTACATTTCTATGTCACAGTCTATCATCATGGTGTCACAGGCTGACACCATGTCACATTTTGAGTTCCAGGGTAGGAGCTCAAGCCAAGGACTGACTGGCTGACTTCCCAAGGTTGCTCAGCTTGCACACAAGCCTAGACCACCTGCCCAAGGGTGAAACCACCACAGTGGTTGGATCATCCATCTCATACCAATTATCAATCAAGAACATGCCTATAGCCTGCCTATAGCCTAATGTTATGGAGGCGTTTTCTCAACCAAGCTTCTCTCTTTTTAGAAGTTAGTTTTCGTTTGTGTCAAGTTGACAGAAACTAACCAGTAAAGCCACCCTGTGTTGGCACGGGAACTGAGTACAGGGAGAGGGAATGAGCCACCCTCACTAAAATGGGAATGAACTCTGTCTGCCTTTCCGTAGAAGGAGCCAGACATTCTAACAGAACACTTTCAACTATTCAAAGCCATTGGGCCAAGACCTGTCAGTCAGTTTTAAGTTTGAACAATGAACTTGTGACTAAGTGACAATACAATAAACACCGCATATGAAAAAACACTCTCCAACATAATTCAGCAAAGTATAATGCAAAGCAAACTTGCTGAAAGAAAAATACTGACAGAAAATGACCATGACAAGTGAGACCGGTGCCACTGAGCCAGTGAGCCCAAGGAGGCACACAATGAGTGAGGCAGGAGCATGGATGATAGGAATACTGCTCCCTCCCTACTCAGCAGATCCAAAGACAAAAGCCTAATGGGACATTAAGCTGATTTTATTCTCCAATAATTGTAATAAATTAATTTCCAGTCATTGGGAGATGTGTCTATAATTCTCTAAAATACATATATTATGAAAGCAATGAGTCCAGATTTTGGAAGAAGGAGTAATTGGACAAAATTAATAACCCAGAATGGCTTTGTAATTTTCTAAATGTGGTTCAGGAAAACTGTTATCTATGCTGCTGAAGCAGCACAGCCCAAGACAGATGGCACCCTGCCCACAACAGTACAATAGCTGAGATGCAATTACTGGCTTTGTGGAAAAGAAAAGAGGCTGGCTGTCATAAACCTCAAAGCCAGAACACTTTGCTGTTTTAATGACTCGAAATTATCTCGACAAGCAATGGAATGAAAATCACTCAATTAGCTGTGAGTTGGACTTGGAAGCCATCATCGTGTTTTGTGGAATTTGAGGGTTACTTTGTTCATGGGTTCTTGGAAAGGGACAGTATCATCTCCAAATCTGTAAGAGAGTTTTCATGCAATTTGAGTCTGATGGTTGTCTTCTCTGTGGATGTCTATGTGTAATTCCTCAGGACATATGATTTTTCAGCAAAAGCGTCTGTGGGTGAGTTTTACCCACTTATGATTCCATGCTGAAAAACAAGGCAGCCACTTGCTTATCTTGGTAGGCTGACATGACATTGTATTCAAAAAATAGTGAGCTTATTCGGGCTAAGAAAATAATGTTGGGTAATGACATCAGGAATGTTTTCTTGTGATTATTTGCCAAAGTATATTAAGCATAATGCAGTCAGGATTTTTCATAAGCTATTTTTCCCATGAGCACTGATTAAAAATGGTTATTTCTGTTTATTCACCACAAGCAAGGAAACTATGTGTTTTAGATGCAAGCGATGCAATCCTTTTAATCTCCACCACACAGCCCTGGCAGGTGGAGAGCCAAGGACAAATTAATTCCTTCAGTTAAAGGGGTGAAAGAGCACCCAGCCATCAGGCGCCTACAATGCCCCCACTGAATGCTTGGTAGGTCAATTGGCTAGAACTTGAGTAGCAAAGCTGGTCTAGGAAGTTTAGTAGTAATTAGCCATTTGGTAAGTTACACAGGACTAAAGAGCCCTGAACTTTTTATGTAAGTCAAATTACTTTTCAAGTGATATCTTTTTTTTGTAACCCACCACACTGAAGAGGCCTGATGAAAGCACGTATGTGCTAATCTGGATCTTCATGGAGGATTTTGGAGGACAGCTCCCTGCTCCATGGAACAGATGGAGGCGATGATTGCTGCATGCACTGAGCAGACCCCAGTCCAAAAGAGACGCCCTCTGTCCTCTCCTCCACCTCCACAGCCCATAGTCACCACCATTCCTACTTCCCAAACGTTCTAAAGCTTCTAGGTGGTAAAACTGAGTGAGGTAGTATAAGATGTCTGGGAACTGACCAGGGTACCATTTGATAGAGGCTACAAACTTCAGGCTGTGCCAAAGCCCATCCATCACTGCCTGTGGAAAAGGAAGCAGTGTGTGGAAGGGGCAACGCAGGATGATGAATTTCTTTCATTTATCAAGTCACAAGGAAAAAAAGTGTTCACTTCTGAACACATAAATGAACCAGGACTGGAATGCTTTTAGCTTTTTTTAGTGTGTGTGTGTGTGTGTGTGTGTGTGTGTGTGTGTGTGTGTGTGATGTATGGTGTGCGCATTCCTCTGTGTGTGTGTGTGTTGCATGCACATGAGTGTGCACATGCTTTAACCCATGCTTGTGCATGCAGGGTCAGAGCAGGATATCCCATTATTGCCTCTCACTCTCCACATTATTGCCTTCAGACAGATCTCTCACTGAACCAAAGCTTGCCATTTGGCTAAGCTTGCTAACAATGAACTCCCAGGAGTCACTGTCTCTGTCCTCGCAATGCTGGAGTTACAGAAACATGCAGCTGTACCCAGCCTTTTATGTGGGTGCTGGAGATTTGAACTCAGGTCTTCATGCTTGCACAGCAAGTGTTCTTACCCGTGAGCCATCTCCCTAACCCTGGAACACATTCAGATTAGCAATCATTTACTGTATTAATGGGTGATGCTTCTTTCTGTCTTGATATAAATTTAGCATTTTATTGTTTTCTCGTCTTGCCTTTATAGCATCATTTGGATCTGAAATGTCCCCAAAGACCCAAATGTTAAAAGTTTTGTTCCCTGGCTTTGGTGCTATTGGGGGTGAGGGTAGAACCTTGAAGAGGTAGAGAGACCATTAAGAGTAAGTTAGGTGATAGAGGATGTGCCCTTGAAGGGGCTACTGCAACCTTTGCTCCATATCCCTTCTCCTCTCTCTTTGCTTCCTGACCTCTAGGAAGAGAGCATCTCTCTATCCTGTGCTCCTGGCCAGTATGTCCTGCCTCACAAGCCACAAGGTAAGTGCCAGCTGACGGGAACCAAAGCCTCATAAACCATGAGTCAAAGTACACCTGCTTTTCTCTAAGGTAGTTTGTCTAACATACTGTGTCACAGCATCAGAGAGCCCATGAGTGTGTGTGTGTATATGAGTGTGTGTGTGTATATGCGTGTGTGTGCGCGCACGCTCGTGTGTGTGTGTGTGTGTGTGTGTGTGTGTGTGTGTTCAGATTTTGGTTTTTATCCTTCCACAGTTTTCTCTGTATTCATCCTCCTTTAAAAATCACATTGTTGACTTTCTTTATGATGGTTGTGGTGAAAGAGAGACAAGGTCTTCAAAGTGACAAGCATAGATAGTTAACCCTGTAAACCCCTAAACTTGTCTGCAGTAGCCCTCTGCTACCCCTCTCCTCCCATCACATCTTCATGCTCTGACTGTTAGGGGGAGCCCTTGGAGATCCCCATCCCGGAGTCCCTTTGTTCCTCAAGCCTGTGCTCTGGCTAAGGATGAAAAATTCGGTCCCTGCATGAGTCCTCTTCTATTTTCTTAGCTCTCTTCTCTCATCATCCCTGAGGGAAATGCATTTGGGAACACCAGGAACTTAAAGGAAACAATAAGTGGGTCATAGGTGAAGCAAATGTCACTCTCCTCTGGTGACCTCATTTCCATTCATTAAATGACTGTAGCACATTAGGCCAAACACCAGCCAATTCCAGTGTAGCAGAAAATTGCCTCCCCCTGGGAAACTCTCCTTTTAAATATGAGAAGCAGAAAGGGACTTTTCACATATCTAAGAACAGAAAGCTAAGCATCCGCCTTAGCCACCATCTAATTAGTGTTTGCAGTCCTTAGGATGTCCGGTCACCTCCCCATCCATCCTGAATACCAGCTGGACTTTCTCGGTCATCTTGACGCCAGTTTGCTGCCCTCCTCATTCAAATTCTTCAGTGTGGTCCATCCAGTGAGTCACCTTAAGCAACCGCTCTGTGGTGATCACCTCCCTAAGGGACAGCTAATATAGCCTGTGTAACTGACCCCACTGATCCTCACCCCCCACCTGGGCCATGCAGGTAGGTCACATGACCACCTCTAAGTCCCTGTGTGACCCCCTGGAACAAGTACCTATCTGCTTTAAAGTCAGCCACTCAACCACCCCTTGAAAAAGGTGCTTGAACAACACTGGATCCAACAGAGTTCTCTCCTTCTCTGTGTGCTTCCTGAGTGTGCCAGCCCTCCCTAGGATGTGTAAGTAATATAATATTTCTAGCTTGAATCTTTCTTGATCATTAGAAGACTGCTTTCCATCTCAATGAACCTCAGTTAAGTGTGGGGAGTTGCTATGATTTAACATCTATTATTGTCTCATCCACACTTAACCACTTGGGAGAAAGACATGGCTAATTTGACAGGAGCCTGACTTAGAATTCAGAGCCCTGGCTCAAGTTCTGGCTCCACTACCAATATTCTGTGTGTGACCACAAGTACTGTAGGCCCGAGTCTTCAGGCAGAGAGGAACAATACAACAGAAGGCTAAGCATAGGGCTTCATACGTGATGTACATGAATACAGTTTCAATGATCATTGCTATGTCTCTTCCCATGCTAAATATAACAAAACATAGGTTTAACAGCTATGTGATCTGCCCTGAAATCTAGGGTAACCTATATCTCCTGGTTTTGTGCCCAGGAACTTCTGCACAATCACAAGTAGTCACCAGTAGGCATCTGATACTTAAATTATAAATGTTCCACATGCCACACAACAAGGACACCACATAGTTGTCGGGTGGAAATTCTACAAACAATAAACATACCTGAGATGATGTTTTAGGGAGAAAGAAATTATTACATCAGGCATGTGCCTTGTGTACAAAGCCAGAAAAAGACTTTGTATAAAGTCTTACAGATAATAAAACAATTTCTTCTTTGTCTGAGTATTCAACCAGACCCCTGGAATGGCAGGTGCACGTTCAGCCAAGGAAAGGGCCATGGGAAAGAAGAGTCAAACACTGCCTGTGTTTTATTTGATACAATTCAACTCCTCTCTCTGTCCCCTGATCTGTGGAACAGCACAGGTTTTTCCAGACTGTAGCCTGCCCCTGTTTCTCTAGGGAGCAACAGTCTCAGACACCCTTGTACAGCACTGAGCTCCTATGCAACACTTATGCTCCGGCTCACACTTGTTGCCATGGATGCCATGGTTTTCTCGATACCTCCTTCCTGTTTACAAAGGCAGAAAGAATTAGAAAAGGCAGGGAGAACATGAAAATCTGAAAGAAACTGAATTTTAGTCAATCAAGACTTTTCTTGCCCAGGACCTTATATTTGGCTTGATGTGTTAATTTCTTATCTACAACTGTGTTCTATTTTAAAGGTGGTTTGTTTTCAGAGAAAAATGTACTGTGGTTTCCAGTATTAGACACAGTTTTTAGTTTGCATGTTAATGCACCATGGCAGTTAGAACATTGTTCCAAATATTCAGTGCTATATTTGTCCAGCACACAGACAGCAGGCTAACTCATGAGGCCTTCTTTGACCAATGAAATGTGAATACAAATGACACTGTAGAGCACAAGCTGCAAAGTTATCCCGTGTTCCACCATCATGTTGCCCTTTGCTGCCATCAGCACAGTTACTAGAGCGAGCGAGGCTGTTCCATTAGCTAGATCCTGAAACAAAGAAGACATGGAAAGCAGACCGCAGCCAACCCACAGTACCATATGATGCAAGCGAGCAGAACATTTTTGTTATTATATAACTACTGAGACTTGTGGGTGTCTTGTTATTGCAGCAAAAGCTACTTAATTCTAGCTACTATATTCACTGACACTTATTTAGATCATACTCATCTTAATCTAAAACCCCACATATTTGCAATCAAACACTGTTGGAAATAATACTTAAAATAACCACAGTCAGTTTTCAGAAGAACTGGGACTAGAGCCAATATATCCTTATAGGAATAATACCATTCTTGCTGTTATTCAGAAGGCAAATTGACCCTAGGCATGCTTTGGTGCTTCTGGACACATCTTAATTCCCTACACAACAGAATTTTCATTCTGAGATTTTTAACTCTATTCCCTGGAGAAATCTGCAAGCCACAGACACTATACTCAGAGAAAACTGAAAAGCAAAAACCAAGTCCAATCTCCTCACACCATCCAGAAAGAGCTCAAGGGTTAAGAACTCTTGCTAGTTCCTCTAAAGATGATTTTAAAAACGCATTAGTTACACAAAGCTACAGCCAAATAAATCGTCAGACCCAGTATTTCAGGACAAAAGGACGATGACGAATGAGAACTCAAAGGAATGCCTAAAGGATTATATCTGGGAATGTCACTTTTAGAAAATGAAATAACACATAAACATGTCTGGTCCACCCAATTCCTGTCTGGGAGGCAGAAAAATTTTTTAGTGCTTATTCATTTCAGTAAGAAGATATGTAAACCACAGGTCTGGTAACAGAGCACCAGTGAAGTTCGAAACACCCTGAATACAAATTATATACACACACAATTATGATATATTAAATAAAGTATAGTGTCATATTAAACATATGTACATATATATATGTGTATACTTTGGATTTAATCTTAAAGGACTCCTCTCAAAAAAGCTTTCCTTTCTTTCTTCCCTTCTTTCTTCCTTTCTTTCTTTCTTTCTTTCTTTCTTTCTTTCTTTCTTTCTTTCTTTCTTTCTTTCTGTTTTTTGTGATAGGGTTTCACTGTGTGCCCATGGTTGTCCTGAAACTCACTCTGTTGACCAGGCTGGCCTCGAACTTAAATTTCCACCTGCCTCTGCCTCTCAAGTGCTGGGATTAAAAGCATGTACCACCACTGCCCAGCTATTTGGCTATTTCTCTCTCTCTCTCTCTCTCTCTCTCTCTCTCTCTCTCTCTCTCTCTCTCTCTCTCTCTCTCTCTCTCTCTCTCTCTCTCTCTCTCTCTCTCTTCTCTCTCTCTCCTCTCTCTCTCTCTTCTCTCTCTCTCTCTCTCTCTCTCTCTCTCTGTGTGTGTGTGTGTGTGTGTGTGTGTGTGTGTGTGTGTGTGTGTGTGTGTGTGTGTGTAGCGCATGTGAGTACAGGTACATGCAGAACCCAAAGGAGGAGGTTGGATCTCTTGGATCTGGAGTTACAGAATGCTGTGAGCCACCGGACAGGGAGAACTGAACTTGGGTCTTCCCAAGAGCAGTGCTTGCGCTTAACTGCTGAGCCGCCTCCCCAGCCCCAAGCACTTTTTCTCATTTGTTACTTGCAGAGTTTAAATTAGCATGGTGTTTTCTGACAACGGTCTCATGTTCTGTTCCCTACAAAGAATCCTGTTTAAAAACAGAATGAGGAGTTGCCTGGGCCATGGCCCATGTCTGGTTGGTTTAGCAGGATGGAAACAAATGGTAGGTGCTTGCTGCTCGGCCTGCTCCCTGTTCATCCCGCAGCCCATATCGGTGTCACAGTGTGGATGGCAGGACTCACCAGACGTTGGGTAAAAATGGAAATGACCTCTGTACTGTTGTCAGAGTTCATCTTCAGCAGCCTCCCAAGTCTAGGGGAACTGACAACTGTAAACATTATAGTTCTGTTCGCTGCTTTGTCATCGTTGGTCACAGCTTTCAGGGCATTAGATGACAGTGGCTTCGTGGAACCTAAGATTCAAATATGGATATAAGTACAAAACACACAAAGGCAGTCAACTACTTGAATGATCTCTCCAAACTTCTGAAACCTGCTTAGAGAGTGTATCCATATGAATGGGAGTGCTAGCTATTACCCGAAACTAGGAAATTTGGAGCTAGTGTTCCTTGGGATAGCTTCTAGTGGACCTGATTTGCTCCTGAACCTCAGGAAAAACTGGCTCCTCAGAGCTTCTCCCCCAGTCACGGCCTGGTGTCTGTTTGATTCTCTAGAGAAGAGTCAGTGCCAAGGCCTCTGCGGCTAAGCCCTGTGTAGTGAAGAAAGATCTGATTGTATGGTGCTGGGAACCCAAGAGACTGTGGCTCCTAGGAGGGTGGGGATTACCTCCTAAACAAGCACAAGGAACCTTCCAGGCCAGTATCAAAGGCCATGAATGTCAGGGTTTTGGATGTTGAAGGCCCATCCTCGTGGGACGGAAGGTCTGAATGCTCAATGCTGTCTTCTGGACCAGAATCCTCCCTCATCTCTCCCAACCTTTTCAAAAGCACTTTAGCATGAGTCCTCTGCAGAGTAGCCCTCAGAGTAGGTACTTTGTAAATTACTTTTAAGCTTATCCAATAATATTAGTAAATAGTAACCATTTATTATAATACATAACTATAGAATAATAAAACAACTATTTATCCAATAATAACTAAGCCTCATTCTAAATGGCATCCATTTTTGCTTCCCTTCCTTAGCTTTTATAGTCTTGGATAGGAAAGGCCACCATAGCTGATATTTAAACCACATTAGGCATTTGATAATTCCAAGGAGAAGACAGCTCTGTGTCTGGATAACTTCCTGTTAAGAGAAGCTTTTTCTTTTGCTAGCCGCTTTGGTTTATCCCCCGCCAGTCGCCTGGGCTCTGCCGCGCCAGCCTGGTTCTAGATCCGCATGAGTCCCAAATAAACACACAGGAGGCTATATTAATTATGAAGCTGTTGGCCTTGTTTGTCTCTTACTGGCTAGCTCTGCCTTAAGTAATTACCCCATAATTGTTAATCTAAGTATGTTTCTTACCAGAGAATAGTTCCCGGCGTCCTACCCCCATGGCGTCACATGTTGACTCTCTTGTGTTTCCCCTTCCCAGAATCCTCCTCGACTCCTAGTCCCTCCTATCTAGGTTTTCTATTGGCCAGACAGTACTTTATTGACAAATGCACAGGCAAATAACAGGACTTCCCCAACACTTCCAAATTTGCAAATATGGAGGCTCCATTTAAAACACCGGAGCCTCTGAAATGAACAGTAGGCTCTTGGGGGTGAGGGGCATGAGCCCAGGATCAGAAAGCGGACCTTTCTCACACAGTTTGCCTCGAGTTCAGGACCTCGCACTCAAGTTTAGCTGCTGCACAAGTACCCGTGTGCTGCTCAGAAGCTCTCACACATTCTTCTCACTGCTTGCTGCAGCCACCATCTGGCTTCTAGACGGTGGCCAGGGCTGGAGGTCACACCAGACAGGCTTAGAGGAATGTTTCTGTGCCCTCGGTCAATGTTATAAAGGCTTAACTGGGGCTCTGTCACCTGTGAACTTTTTATTATATATGCTATGTATAGTCCTGGCCACCTCAATTCCCAACCTCCCCATCCTCAGCTAGTCTTTGGAACACCTGTATGCCTTAATTTCTCTTCTTCACAGTGACCCTGTTTTATAACTCACTTCTTCCTTTACTTCCCAGGTTACTTAGGGGACAGGAAGTAGAAAAGGGCCTCTTTAAAACTATGTCATTTTTTTCCATCCAAAGGATATGAAATTCTTTGTCAATCCTCCCTCTATATCAGGTGGCTTCACCATAGTCTTATGGGGGAGTAAGCCTGAGTGCACATACCAGATGATAAGACACAGAAAGCCTGGGGCCATGGGGGTGGCTCAGTGGGCAGAGTGCTTGCTGCCCATCATGAGGACTGAAATTCAATCCCTAGAACCGCATGGTGTAAGGAAAGAATGACCTCTGATAGCCTACCACGTGCACTCTGGGCTCATGTGCGCGCGCACACACACACACACACACACACACACAATTTAAAATGTTTTTAGAAAGAAAATGTGATATGTCTGCACGGTGGGAGGGATGGTAAACCCTTCAGCACACACCATTAATCCCTTCTCCTTTCTTTTGGTTCCTACTCTGAGGGACAGATGTGTTACTGATGTCATTTCTTTCTCCTTCACGACCAAAGAGGCTGAAGTGCAGATTCAGGGAATAGCCCTTTGAAGGTGAACTCCCTGACTCTGGACCTACAGAAGCTTGCTTCTACAGAATCACCGCAAAACTTTCTGGGTTAATCCTCCAACACTGGAGACCAACATTCCTTGAAAAGGAGCCAAGTACAATTTGGATAAACAAAAAAAATCTACATACAGCCTAAGGACATAGTATATTCTAACATGCCGCCACTAAAGTTAAACAAACAAAATCTATGGTAGAATTCAATGTGAAAAACTCTTACAAAATCTTTCCTTGAAAAATAAATCACAGAGAAGGCAACAGAACACATGCTAGCTAAATATATATGAATACCTCCCATATGTGTGTGTGTGTATACACTCATGTTATACCCACATATCTATATATGTATTCAAAATGTATGCGATAAAATAAGATAAACTGAAATATTAAAATAAAATATACTTTAATTTTACTTAGTTCACAAAAATATTTCATTTAGAGTTAAAAACTGACATTAAAATTTGGCAAAGCATAGAAGCTATAGTTAGTCTTAAAACAGTCACATTCTACGTACTCTAACAATCACTTTGGCTTGCCATGCAATTTTTTTAAGTATGAAGCCAGGGCTGAGCATACAAAAGAGGCAACACAAGGACTTTCCAAAGTCTGATGCAGAGGAGGATCAAATGGTACAGTATGGACCAAATGCGAATTAAAGGTTTAAACTTTTTGTTGTTGTTACTAACTTATGCCAGGTTGCAATACTTCCCCAGCCAAAGAGATTAAAATGTGCAACATAGCTACATAATTGCAGCTGTTAACTTGCTGTGGGTGTCAATATATCAACAATGCTTAGGAAACAAAATAAACATTACCCCGATGTCCTTTTCTCAGGGAACTGGCATTCTACAAGGGACATCCTGGGATGCTGGCCTACACGTAAGGGTGAGGGGATGCTTGATACAAGCTCTAGATTTGGGATCAGAATTGCTACGCTGCCGGGAGGGCTTACGAGTTGTCGCTTAGCTATGTGACACAGAAACCTCCTGAGCCTCTTGTCTTTTACCTTCCAATGGATGTTCAAAAGTTGTGTTTTTATATACTATTTTCACTTAAATTTTTTATAGTAACCCAATATGGTAAATAAAAATAGAAGTATCAATAACTGAATGTCCAGCCTATAATAGGAATAGATTTTCTACTCCTGAAATAGCTCTAAAACAAATCATGCTTCCACAAAAACAACGGACTTTCCCCCTGGGATCTTAGAATATGGAAGTTCTGAACATGTGGTTCTGCAATAGCTGACACAGGATATCTCACATCATATCCGGAGGCAAGATGCATGCGGTGTGCCCCCTCGCCCTTTGTGGGGCATGGCACACCATGATGAGAATGGGAATGCTCAAGGAAGACACAGAACGTGGTGTCCATCATCACATCACAGCTCCACATGCAGCAGCTGGGACAAAGAGCCCTCTTGGGGCTGCTGAAGAAGCCGGGCTGAACAAGGTCAGGCAGGTCCCGGGAAAGGGGACAAGGTAACAAAACCACAGGAATCCTGTTCATGCTAGGCAACTCTGCCTCACAACTGGTGGCCCCTGCTACTTGGGAAAGCTGGCACAGGAAGAGCAATACGAACAGCCAGGGCCACGGGACCCATGAAGTCCACCTGAACTCTAGGACTTGCGATACCGCGGTTAGGAGATTTCATCAATCATCACTGTCACTCAAGAGAATGGATATGAGGATCCATCTTCCTTCCTCCTGGCCAAGAACTGGAACAGGAAACAATGCGGGGTGGAGACAGTGGCAGCTAAGAATACCAACTGAGCTACCAGGGCAGGGAGGGATTGTGAAAGCCAGGCCAGCGTCGGAGTTCCAGCTGTGAGTTCTTGAAACACACCGGGCTGGGTGGTAGTAGATGAAAAAAGAAACAGTTCCCAGAACTGTGGCCAATAATGCACATAAAGCTATAAAACTCTAAGTTTTACACGATCTTCTGAAGGTCAGAAAGGAATTTGGCTACTTAATGTATGTTTTCCGGCTACACTGATTCAGTAAAACATCCGCCAGAAACTCAGAAGTGTCGAAGCGATAGTGTTCCTGCCTTCCCACTAATACAACTGTCATCAATTATTAAACCAGACTGTGCTGAGCCAGATGAAAGGTACTTAATCTTCTGCAGCAGTCACAATTACCCTAGTTTTGAAATTTTAAAAATAGATCACCATGTCTTTCCGATTACTGAAATGTAACTGGCTATTTGTTTGTTTGTTTTTTTTTAACACTAAATGGCTTTCTAATTGCCTTGGGGAGAAAATGGTTGAAGTTTCATACTTATTCAGAGAGAATATTTACAGAGCATAGAAAAAAAATAAAGTTTTCTAATAGAAGATCCTAGGTGACAGCCCTTGCTGCGTTTGGAAAGGTTTCTTTCCACAGACTTAAGAGCTGAGGACAACTTCGAAATACAAAGTGAACACTTAAGGGCTGGGGGTGCAGTTCAGTGGTAGTGGACTGCACTAGCTTCAACCCTCAGCATTACCACCATCACAATAAAAATTAGCAAAACATCCCAGCAGTTATTGTAAAAATAATGGCAAATACATGTCCTTTTCCTTGAAGTTTGTTACAGAAGCAGGAGCCCACCAAGAATACATTACGTAGCTCAAAGGCACTGAAATACTGGTACAGTGTCCAGCCCTGTGGGTCCCAAGTGAGTTCCACTTTAAGAGCAACTAAGACTTTAAAAAAGAAGGCAAGATGGCTCAGTAGTTCCTAGCACCCACATGGTGGCTCACAACTCTCTGTAACCCCAGTTCCAGGGGATCTGAAGTTTTGTTCTGACCTCTGCAGACAAAGGCATGTATACACTGTATAGACCTATGCACAGGGAAAACTCTCAAACACATAAACCTATAAAAAAAAATTAAGGAGTCAGGCCCATTCCAGAGACTCTCATTCAGCTTGTATAAAGTGAGAGGCAGGCAGGCATTGCTATTTTTAAGACGGCTGTCTAGTTGGACCATAATTAATAAAGTCATCAGTGTCTTTTTCCATCTATGTTTGATTGCTAATGTCTGTCCTTTATGTTATAAAGTGCAGGAGTGTTCTGGCCTTTCCTTTTCCCCAACACTCAGGCCATGTTGAGATGTTATTGTTTCCACCTCAGTGCTTTTTTGGAAATAACAAATTCCAGCTTTTTTTCCCCTCTCTTTTTATTTATTTATTTATTTATTTTTGCCCTTGCCATTGGGTAAATCTTTCCCCTTTACTTAGAGTGTTAGTCAGAGCGGCTCACAGCTCCTTCTACATCAGTCTGGCTTACATTATTGGCAAACAGCCACTCTAAGGGAAAACGCTGGCAAGCCCCAGGTGCGGCAGACGATTTCCTATCCAATCACAAGCAGCTTGAAGAAGGCAGAAGGAGACAGGGATGTGGCTTAGCGGGCAGAGTGCTTGCTTAGCCTGCACAAGGCCCCGAGCTCAGTTCCCAGCAAAGTGTAAGCTGGGCATGGTAGCACAAGCCCGCAAGCCCGGCACCCGGGAAGCAGAGGCAGGAAGGTCAGAAGTATAGGGTCACATGCAGCTGCCCAGGGAGTTCAAGACCAGCCTGGGCACAGCAGACATAGCTCCAAATGCACGTACAATAGAGATCAGGGGTCTGTTAGGACTGTAGGAGAGGAGAGGGGAAAGTGCAGAGACAATGAAGACAGCCCCTTCCGTGCATCCTTCCACTGCTCTTCCCAGCCCTTCCTTTTCCAGGGAAGAGACAAGGGGAGGCACAGGAAGGTTGCAGAGTGCCAGCCTTGCTGCTGTCAAATTTCTGCTGAGAATTCTGTGGGGGTGGGGGACTTAATAATGTTGCTAGAGTAGTTTCACAGCAAGGGACATCACTTTAGATCATACTAGTGGATTTTCTGAGTAGATAGGAAAACACTTAACCCTTCCCACAAACACTCCCCAAGCCTCTTACCTGGGAAGATGCTCAATCCTCTGTTGACTTCTAAGCTAATGATCAGAGTTCGGGCAGTGATGCTAAAGATTTGCCGAGGTGCAAAATTCAAACCGTCAGTAACCTGAAAATTAAAGCCTCCTGACATTGCTCCTTCAAAAGAAGAACATACAATCTGGTCAATTTGATTACCCTGAAAAATCCACTTTACCCTATCTCCCTCCATGGTCCCCTGAAAGTAGCTATAGCAATTTTGTAATGTACTAATTAGCCACTGAGCTCACCAAATCAAATGCTGCCACATGCCACATACATTTGCATCCACAACAAACAGCCTGTAGGTCTGTGGTCCCACAGACTGTATCACCCAGACATGTCACATCCTGTTTAGTTTGTGTAAGGATGCTCCATGATACTTGAACATTGATGAAATCGTTTCTCAGACTGTGTCCCTGACTTTAAATGATACTTGATTGTATTATTGACAAGAAACAAAGTTAAGATATATCAATAAAGGTTAAAATGCAGATTCCCTTGACCTCTGACATATTAAAACACCAAGAAAATTTTGCAAATTAAAAATAGTACTCATCACCTGTATTTTATTATTTTGAAATCAACCCATATCAACAAAGCAATGTAAATCTAGAGCCACACAAATCATTTTTGAAATATTGATAAAGCTTTATACTGAAAATTGAAATTTAAGGGAAGGGAATATTTAGCATCCTGCAAATACAAACAGTTACACTTTTAATGAAATATGCAAAAGAAAGGGTGGAAAGATTGCAACTCAACCCTTCACAAAGAACTGTAGACAACTGTGATGCTGAGAGCTAGAGAAATAGTCTTCCCCAGGGAAGAGCACACTAACCGGTTATCCAACACCAAAGAGCTAACTCTGAAATCACATACACACTTGCAAACACACACATGCATGTAACAATGAAAAAAGAGGCCATGAATTTGAAAAAGAGTTGAGAAGGGTATATGGGAGGCTTAGGAGGGAGGAAAGGGAAGGGGGATAATATATAATTATAATTTCAAAAGATCAGGGAAATTAACAAATAAACAAATATCCCTGTCAAGCTAACCATATTCTAAGTGGGAAGGGAGAGACCTGGCATGACTTTCCTTAAGGATCTACAAAGAGTTCACACTCCCACACTCTGTCAGAGACTAGTCATACCAGTAAAGTGGAAAATTAACTTATGGATATCGCTAGAATGGCGACGGACCAGCATCGATTCAATTCCCCAGGGTACTTTACCAATCTGACTCATAAGGCATCAGCAAGATCTCTATACAGGGAGACTGGTGGCCATTGAAAATGTCTGGTAGCAGTAAATGAAAAGCTCACAGGCCCTTACAGAATGTACTAGGTAGACATGTGTCTTTGTCACCCATGGGGAAATAAGGCAGGGAATGAAGGATGTATGATCAGAGTTCAAGTCTGTATGGGTACTCCCTTAGTAACACAGGCTGACCAGCATAGGTTGGTACTTAATGTCTTTTAAGTCTTAGCTAAGCAAAGCTTACTAGGAAGCCCTGAATTCTCACTAGAATGTTTACAGGTGGTGCTTTTTTGTTTGTTTTACCAAAATATTCATTGGTCACCATTAAAGAGACTGGGAAAGAAAAAGGCACTGCTTGTACCAAACTCCCAACAGGACTGATGACCAACTGTTTCACAATTGCTTGCTTTCCTAGAATTAGCTTCCCAAAGTCATATTTAATGAAACACAAAATTTTTAAAGAGAGGATGTCTTTTACCACTAAGAATTCTGAAAGTGCCTTATGAATCAAGGGACAAAATAGGGACAGAAGCAGAGGATCTATACCAAAATCAATACAGATTGTCACACTGAGTAGGACCTAACAGGAAGTAGACTAAGGGAAGACCAGTACGGAAGCTGTCACACAGCACGATCTGTGGACACTCTAGGGCAGAGCTGCATTTTCCCAAGGGTACTTTCAGGAGGGCAAGTGACCGAGACCCTTGGCTGCAGACATTCTTTGTTGTATCAAACCACTTAAGTGGTTGTATGGCCTGGCACTTTGCAAATGTAAGATGCTAAGTGAAATTAATTAAATCATCGCTTTGTTTGGGTCTGGTAATGGACAGCTGGACAGCTGGTTTCCGCAACAGAGGCATCTGCAGCTGGACTCCAGTCGCTTTGAGAATTAGTTTGTCTCAATGTCCATTTAGGAAATATAATGAATTAGCCCTCATGTTATCCTGGCCTCTACCTCCCTTTCCTTCTTTTTACTGAAGCTATTTTCTCTATCTACTAAAAGCAAATATTGACCTGATAGCTGACAAGCCAATCTACCCAGAGGGCTTACTGTTGTTTCCAGCCTTCAGTGCAAATGGTAACCCTGTCCTCTAACCTGCCATGCCCTTCAGTGAAGAAACATTAGCTCCAGGGACAGGCCAAGCTGAGTAGTTCTGAACTGTAGGTTTTTTCAATCACAAATGGGGTCGTGTCTCTGAATGGCTCCGAGGACGGAGGAGTACTTGTGAAATCAGTGTGACTTGTGAAATGGCACGTTCAGTGTGACTGCACTTCCCGTGCTGTCTGATGAACGGAAGAGATTTAGGACAGTGCTGAAAAGGATCTAAGCCCCGGGCCCCAGGCTCCAGGCTGTGACCACTACATGAGAGCATCCACATGCTACATTGTGTTTAGATTCTTTGTGCAGCCTGTGTGTTAAGTGCACAGATCATCAGGGCGTCGCTGCCTATGAATTCAGAAGATGTCTTATATTTCTTGTCTTTATTATATTCCTAAAGAAGATGGTTTAAACTAACTGGGGAAAGGATGAGACTTAAGCTTTCAGGTTATGCATTCCTGGGTCATGCTCCTTTCCTATGCCCCCTTCCAGCTGCTGCCCATGCTGGTCCACTGACAAGGGTAGACATAGAACAAAGCCAGGCCAGCCTGGCAGAGTTCCTGGGCCACCTTTCCAGCAAGTGTTGTCGGTATTGATTCACTGATGACTAACAGAAGCAGAAAGGGCCTCCAACCAGCATCAGGATCTTATAAACACAGTGACATTGGTTCATTCATGAATACAATCCTCCTACAAAAACTGCTTTGTTCACTATGTATCCTCAGCATGTAGAATGTTATTACCCAGTACATAATTCGTGTTCAAAATTATTTCATTCATTCAAAAAAGTTTTACTTATGAAGCACCTACTATGTTCTTGGCACTGTTTGAAGGACTGAGGATACAAGAGACTCTGCCCTTTCTTAGAATACTTGCACCGTCACAGAGTAGGGAGATTAAAAAGCAGAGGTTCAACTCAACCTACACTAGTCTCATTGCCAGGGCAAGAGTAGAGAGTCACAGGGAAATGCTACACCAGTGAGTGGGAGGAATGGGCTCTCATGGAAATTAACTAACCTTACACGCTCTCCTGAGTAAGCCTCCAGGGGCAGGCTCTAATGATTTTATTAGCTTTCCTCAACATGTTCCTTAAAAAGGCACAGAGCTTGGGAAGTTTCTACAACCTGTGGTTTTCCATCAGCAACTCCAAGGTATGACAGCCGCATCACGCACTGCTCAGAACACAGGCACTTGGCCCTGCTCTGCTGTGACTTACCAGAGTGCACAAACACAAGTTGGCCCTCATCGATCTGCGCCTGAGTGAAGTTCTGGATGCTTCTGCCAGGAATGGACTTGAGAGCCAGGTACCCGTTGCTGGGAGGAGTGACCCAGTAGACCAAGTCCTGTGGGGAAGAGTCTCCATCTTCTACACACAGGTCATCTCTGGTCATCTCAGTGACAGAATTCACCCACACCTTAAAGAGAAGAGAACCAATTCCAGTCCACCCACAGTCACGACTGGGGCCCCATGTGAAAAAAATGAAAACAAAAACGAAAAAACTAAACCAGTTCACTGGAGTTTTTAAGAATGGAGTTGCTTTTACCTGCATGTATATCCATGTGTCGTGTGCATGCCTGGTGTCAACGGTCTAAATTAGAATGTATATCCATGTGTCGTGTGCATGCCTGGTGTCAACGGTCTAAATTAGAATGCATATCCATGTGTCGTGTGCATGCCTGGTGTCAACGGTCTAAATTAGAATGTATATCCATGTGTCATGTGCATGCCTGGTGTCAACGGTCTAAATTAGAAGTACTCACTAGCTGTTTACTCAACATTAATTACCCAACAGTGCACACGTACTAATGTAAATATCTAACTATATGTATGTAAATATCTAAGTGCGCACGTACTAATGTAAATATCTAACTATATGTATGTAAATATCTAAGTGCATAGTACTAATGTAAATATCTAACTATAGAGCCAATGGCTACAAAGCACCCTGCATGGTGAACATTTGCTAAGTTCACCACATGGAATCTCAGATAATGTAACATCTACTTTGCTGGGCGGGGTTGAGAATACTGACACATTGCTTTCAGTAGCTAATGGTGTCACCAGCTTTTAAACGGTCGAGGAGGAAAGATGCACATTGCACATTTGTTATTCCCTTTGGTCTTCCTGTCTTACATGAAAACAAGGGCCTGGTTTCTTTCTTCTCGTGCTGCCTGTTACACTGATGGCTCCCATCTGTAACCATAGCTGAGAGACACAGCTGCTTTCCTCTTATTGTTAAAATCTATGTACATGGCCCGAACACCTCTGCGTCTTGCTTTCTCACTCTCTCCTCACAGCCATCTCCTCCACACTCTGTGTGTGCACATGCCATGCAAGTGTGAGGACCTGGCTCTGATACCTAGAATCCACGTGAAAACACCAGCCCTGGTGATGCAGTTGTAATCCCAGTGCTGGGGAAGTGATGATGGGCGGATCCCTGGAGCTCTGCGGACAGTTAGCCCAGGCTAATCCGTGGGCCCCAGCTCCCAGTGAGAGACTTTGCTAAAAATAAACAAAGTGCACAGTGCACCACCCTAACGAAAGACGTCTGAGGTTTTCCTCTGGCTTCCACAGGCATGTACACACACACACACAAACACACACACACACACACACACACACACACAAACACACATACACACACAAACACACACACAAACACACACACACACAAACACATGCACGTGTACCTGAATGCACATTCATCTGCATCTGCATGCATAAACATCTTCATGCAACAGTTAATCAAATTTATTGTTCATCTACCATGCATCAGCAAATTCTCTGGACACTTGCACTGTATCCGTGAATGAAACAAAGGAGCCATGTCCTTGTGGAGCCTGCACGTCAGCAGAGGGCACAAACAGACACAGAAAAGAGGCTACAGACGCAGTAGGAAATGAACAACATGGTGAGTTATAAAGTCACAACAAAAAAATAAGGGGACTCTGGGATGTGGAATGTTGAAGCAGGAGGCTTGCTGGTGGAAGCCCAAATGGGACAGAAGAAGCCATGCACACACATGCATATTCAGGGATGGGGAAAGAAGATGGCGCTGGAGTTGGCTCTGGGGTGGGAGGAGTGGTGAAGAGGCCATTATGGCAGGAAGAAAATAAACAAACAAAGAAGAAAAGAAGATGGTCCAAAACATAAGAGATGATCAAATTATGCACTATCAAAATGTCAACTTGTCCTTGAGGGCAGGGGAAGATTTCAAGTAGAGTCCTGACCTGGCACACAAAATACCCAACCTGTCTGGCTTCATGATGGTCTGGAGAGGCAGGGAGGCCTGTCAGTGGGTGACTACAAGAACCCCAGAAAGAAAGATGCAGGATGGGAAGTGGTCCGGTTCTGGGAGTCTGCCGAAGGTGTCCATGAGAACTACAGGTGGGGGACTGATGGCACATTTGGGGCCCTGCCAGTGAAAGGGAGGCCTTTCCCCACCACTGAAAGGTAGACAGCTTCATGGGGAGTGAGCTGGGAGATCAGGAGTTCACTGCTAAGTCTAAAACAATTTGGACACTGAGTCTCATCAGATGGACTCTGAATGTCAGTTTCTAGACTCAGGGAGCTGCATGATGGGGTGTTCCAAGTAAGAATGGTCCCCATAACCTCATTTATTTGAATGCTTAGTTACGGGGAGTGGAACCCTTTGATATGATGAGGGGGATTAGGAACTGCGGCCTTCTTGGAGGAAGTGTGTCACTGTGGATGGACTTTGAGGTTTCAAAAGCCATGTCAGGCCCAGTCAATATCTTCCAATCCTCAAGGTGGCTGAAGAATGAACACCTGATATGGAGACCTTGCTCCTGTCTTATATACCCCCCTAATGCTGGGGGTTAAAGACATGTGATCCCAGATGCTGAGCTGTTTCTCTTTAGGACTGGATCAGTCTTGTGTAGATTTAGGCGTAGATCTCTGTGACGAGATCCATCTACCTCTTAATTCTGAGTCCTAGGATTAAAGGTATGTACCACTTCCTCCGAGCTTCTGGCTGCTGGGATTAAAGGTGTGTACCTGGATTCTATGGCTCGTGACTGACTTTGCTTTCTGAATCCCCAGGCAAGCTTTAATAAATCATAAAGAATGTATCACCACATGTAACCCTCAACTACTTCTCCAGAGTATGCCTGCCTTCTGCCATGCTCCCTCCCATGATGATAACGGGCAGAGCCTCTGAAACTGTAAGCCAGACCCCAACTGAATGCTTTCTTTTATGAGTTGTTTTGGTCATGTCTCTTCACAGCAATAGAACAGTGACTAAGGCACATGATATCTCACCAACACAAAAAATAAGTGGCTTTATCATTAACTCCATTTTCACACCTTGTATTCGTTTCTTACAGAACCCAGAAACACTATGTGTGCACTCCTGAGTTTATGTGCATTCCTTACTCTCAGACTAGCACTGTCATGGCCTCCATGCTTTTTAGCAGAGTATCCAAAACTTCACTCCTAAGCCATTATGTCAGTTTGCTGCATACTCAAAAGGAACTATTTTCCTCAGCAAAAGAGGTACTTTCCCAGTCACAGTTCATGTACCATGTCATCTAATAGTCACTGGCATGGGAGTGCAGAAAGCATGTAGGGTTTTTATGTTTTTGTACTAAACCTGGTATCCTGACAATAAAAACCATTCAGATTCTTTCTAAAGTTCCACTACTGACAGCAAGGGAAAACCTCATTTGTGAATGATGTAAGTTTGTGAAAGTTGGTAGCTGTAATCACAAAAAATTCCCACATGTGCACACACATGCATAAACACACCTACACACAAAATGGGAACTTACATATCCAAATCATTCAACTCTACAAGGCTACTGTGGTTTGAATGAAAATGACTTCCATAGGCTCATATGTTTGAATGCTTGGTCCTCGGTTGGTGGAACTATCTGGGAAGGATTAGGAGGTATGGCCTTGTTGGAGGAGTTGTGTCACTGGGGGAAGGCTTTAAGGTTTCAAAAACCCACACCAGGCCCAGTTGCTTTCTCTGCCTCCTACTTGCAGATCAGATGTGAGCTCACAGCTACTGCTCCAGCACCAGGCCTGCCCACGTGCTGCCATGCTCTCAGCCACGATGGTCATGGACTCACCCTCTGAAACTGTAAGCAAGCCCCAAGTTAAATGTTTTCTTTTGTAAGTTTCCTTGGTCCTGGTTTCTCCTCACAGCAATAGAAAAGTAACCAAGACAGTTACTGACTTGAAGAACAACTCATGCCAATAGCAACAGCACTGTTCAAAATTCAAATGCTCATGTTAAAATTATTTTTGTTCAAAAACATTGGGTTTTGTTTTTGCACAATGACAGTCAGGGTTCAAGTCACTGTCTTGTTATTTACTAGCAATGTAACCTTTCCACGTCTCTTAATTTCTCTGGGTCCTAATTTCTTCATCAGCAACAAGAAATGATGGGGCTATTTTGCATGCTGTGTGATTTAATTTATGTACTTAGCCCAGTTTTACCTGACATACAGAGAGTCTTCAATAAACACTAGCTTTGTGTTACCTATTTTCTTCAAACGTTATTTGGTTGTTGTGTTGTGGTGCTCCGTGTCAAATCTAGCTTCTTTTATATCCATCACTGAAGATACATACTCAGATTTATTTTACTTTTATGTATGCATGCTTGTGTCTTTGTGTGCAGGTGCCCTAGACAGCCAGCAGAGGGAATCTCATTCCCTAAAGCTAGAGTTACAGGTGGTTTTGAACTGCACAATGTGCACGCTGGGAACCAAACCCCAGGCTGAAAGAGTAGCAAGTGCTCTCAACCAGTAAGCCATCAAGCCATCGTGTGTGGCATTTTTCAACAACGCTCGAAAGTCCCCCCAGTTGTGATGATAGCACCAAGGATATTTCCTACCACACACTTAGTATTTTGCTTAATTCCACAGCATCCATACTGAGATGAGGAGTTCACCTGTTAAAACTGCAATTATTGACAGGTTGTCTCACTGAAGATGTTTTAGCACCAAGCTCTAATGACATCAACTATTTATTTATTTATTTTGGTTTTTCAAGGCAGGATTTCTCTGTGTACCTTGTAGACCAGGCTGGCCTCGAACTCACAGAGATCCGCCTACCTCTTCCTCCCAAGTGCTGGGACTAAAAAGGCCAGACATCAACTTTTTAATGTCTGCTGAATTATGGAGTGTTCAAATTACAAGAGGTTAGGCTTCATTTAACTTGTGGAAAGGCCACAGTTTCTATAAAATATATAAGTTGGCATGTTTAACAAAATAACATGCTCAGTCATTCCAGTTTAGGGTTTTACATTTCTAAATCATTCCACGTGGCTTATTTTTATTTCTTCAGGAAGGAACATTGAATTGGAAATGTGCTACGACTTCTCTTCCTATAACGTGTACACACTCATTTTTTCCAGTCAGGAGCATAGAACTACAGAAGCATGTTTTC